TTTTTTTTTTTTTTTTTGAGACAGGGTCTTGCTATGCAGCTCAAGCTAGCCTTGAACTCACTAGTAGCCCAGACTGGTCTTGAATTCCTGGCGATCCTCTGGCCTCAGCCTTGTGAGGGCAGGGATTATAGGGATGCACCACCATGCCCAGTCTCAGGCTTGTTTTGAATTCAAAACCCTTCTGCCTCATCCTCCTGAGTGCTGGGATTGCAAATGTGTTTTCTATTTTAAAAGAAAATCCAGACTATTATCCCACAAAAAGCAGATGCTGGCCAGGCAAATCCTATGAATATTTCCTACATGACAAGGCTGCTCACAGGGCTCCAGTTTAGCAGCTACTTGTTCCTCAAAGGAAGTCCAAGCTGGGTGTGGTGGCACACGCCTGTAATCCTCACACCCATGAAGCTGAGGCCCGAGGGTTGCTACGAGTTCGAAGCCAGCCTGGGCTACATATGAGCCCAAGGTCAGCCTGGCTACATAGGGAGGCCCCGTCTCAAAAAAAAGAAGGCCATGGGCTAGGGATTTAGCTCAGTGGTTTCGTCGCCAGCTGTGCAAGCTCAAGGACCCGAGTTCAATCGCTGGTACCAAAAAAAAAAAAAAAAAAAAAAAAGTAAAGAAGGCCAGAGGGCTGGAGCAGGGTCCCAGACCCGCCCAAACTAGATTACGCAGCAATGCGGCGGCCCCGCCCCTGCACCTGTCCATCAAAACAGAGCCCGCTTCCCATTGGTCCGTCTCCTCCGCGCTGTTGTAATCGGATGACTGACTTCTTTCTAAGACCTGCTGTAGTGGAGCTGGCATCCAATCACTATCCCATTGATTTTTCCTGGGGAGACAGGACTTGGCAATATTTTGGAAACAGAACATTATCCTTACTAGATCGAAGTGAGCATTCCAAAGTTGAATTTAACCACGGATTTTAAGCCAAACCATGGCTTAAAGCCAAACTTCCTGCACTTGACCAGGAAATTTTAAGACTTCTCACTTTTCTTCCAGAGAGAAAAGTATAATCCTCTGAAGCTGCGGTGTCCAATAGCAGTCTTTTAACACTTGAAACCTGGCCAGTCCGAAGTGAGGTGTGCCTTAGGGCAAAGACACACTTAATCTCTAAGATGGGGCCAAAAAGCAAACAAGGGGAGATAAGAAAAAAAGACCAATTGTAAGCTACCTTATTAACAACTTTTAAGTCGTTTTTATTTTATTTTTGGAGACTGAGTGTGTGGGGGGGATCTCACTATGTTGCTCAAGTAGCTGGTTCTGGACTCCTGGGCCCTGATCTTCCTGCCTCAGCCTCCTGAGTAGCTGGGACTGGAGATACATGCTCCACACTCAACTTCATTAATAGTTCTTATTTTTTGAGACAGAGTCTTGATAGGTAATTCAGGCTGGCCTTGAACTCAGTATGTAGCCCAGGTTGGCTTTGAATTTGTAGCGATCTTCCCTGCCTCAGACTCTTGAAGGCTGAGATTAAAAAATAAAAGAAAAAAAGAATGTTTCTTCCTCTGGGGTCTCCAAGAAGAGGAAAACTTTGCCTCCAGGGTCCCAGCAAAGAGCAGGGTAAGGATGGGGGCCAGACTTCTGTCCCACATGTGGGTGTGGGGTCCCAGTGGTTAACCGGTTAACCGTCATTGGTTCGAGTCTTTCCTCTGTCCCTCTTTCTCTCAACACACACACACACACACACACACACACACACACACACAAACTTCCTATAGAGTTCCTGTTCTGTCTCTAAGTCTAGGGGCTTCTTGTCTTTGCTGTCCCTGAGACACAGCTCCTCTTGGACCCTCTTGAGCTTGGTGAGAATGTCGCAGGCTGGCAGAGTCACGGATCCCTGAAAAGAGGAGGCCAAGCCTTACTTCCTTCCCCAGCCCCAGGTTTCCCCATCTGCCCAACACTTCCGGTGGGTGGGGTGGGTGGACACAGGCCCGCCCCACAGCAACTTCAAGATCGACAGGACACAAGCAGAGGTCAGGATGCAGGGAGCGGCGGCAGCCTTCAAAGAGAAGCGACAGGGCAACACAGGTGACAGCAGAGGTCAGGAGCCTGGGGGTGGGAAGGGAGGGGTCCGGAAGGGGGCCTTGGGTGGGAGAGGGGTGAAGGGGATGGAGGTGTGTACGGGAGGGTGTCTCCCCTCCAGGATGAGCGTGTGTGTGTCCCTGGCCACAAACCCACTCTGCGTACCCACGGAGCAGAGTTTAGTTCTTCCCTCCTTACCCCGCACCCCTGGAAATGTCCTGTGCTCAGGGTTGGGTGCATCTGGGCAGCTCTCCGCAGCCCTTCTCCCCAAATCCCACACAGGTGCCTGTGACCCCGACTACGAGAACATCAGCCTGACCTTCAGAGAACGGGCCCAGCCTAAGGGCGGTCACCCAGGACCCCTGACACCAGGTGTGTGGCCACCGCCTGCCCACGGCCTCCGCCTTGGGAAGGGCACTTCGAGGAGGCGGCAGTGAATGGTGGCTTGGAGGACTGCGGTGGTGACCATGTGCGGTGTCTAAAACGCTGCCTGCCGGGCTATGGGTGACACTGGCGACAGTGTTGGTGAGCCTGTATGTGACAAGGTGGTTGATGGGGAAGGACGAGGTGACAGCTGCTGATGGTGACAACGTTGGCCACCAGTGTTGGACACTGGCGCTGGTGGGGGTTGGGGAGAGCATTTGTAAGAGGTCTGTGATGGAACAGCCAGGAACAACTGTTGCTGGTGCCGGCCAAGGGGAGCGGTGGTGGCCGAGTTGTTGATGATGATCATGGACATCACTGATGTCCCGGCCGAAGAGGTATTGGAACAGCGAGTTGCTGGTGGTGTCGGAGAAGTGTTGATGGTCTGGCTAGTGTGTGGGGGGGAACTGCAGGTCACCCAGTGTCTCTGTCCCAGCTCCCGCCCAGCCCAGGCCACCCTTGTACAGCGCCCAGGTCCCCACCTGGCTGCAGAGGTCCATCATGAGCCTGTTTGTGCTCCTCGGGTTGATGTTCCTGTTCTGCATCATCCTCTCCGCCCTGGTCTTGGTGAAGAGTGAGTGTTCTTGGGGAGGGGGAGCTGGGGAACCCGTTTCCCCCAGACGTGCTCCCCTTCTGCCACCTCTGCCTGCAGCTCTGCTCTCTCCTAAACAGACTTCGAGATGTCCAGGGAGATGCAGGGTTTGAAAAGGGAGCTTTCCAACAGTGAGTGTGGGTTTGGCGGAAGACCCACAGGGTGGTGGGGGGCTCAGGAGGAGGGTGTCGCCCAGACATGGCCACCCCATGCCCTCAGTCTCAAGCTCGGTGTTGGAGTGCCAGGAAGAGCAAAGGAAGGGCTGGAGCAAGGTCTGGGAGGACATCGAGGAGGTCACCAAGCATATCGGCAAAGTCAGGAACCAGGTTGAAGCCGGGAACCAGAACCTGAAGACGGTGCCAGCAGGTGCCTTTGTGGGCCCACCCTCCACTGGGTGAATCTGTCCAATGCCCAGCACCAGGGGAGGAGATGGCAGGGCCCAGTCCTCCCAACCTTGGGGTTTGGATGGGGTAATGGCTGATGGCGAGTCTCCCTAGGGCTACTTAAAACTGTCGGGAACCCCCAAGTGCAGGACTGCGGTGAACCCCAGGCTGGAAGCAGTCTGGAGAGGACTCCCAATGGAAGTGGGGGCTTTGTCTGAGGCTGCATCCCAGATTTACCTGTTTCCTCTCCCATCAGAAGTAACACAAATCAGGACAAACATACAGAAAATCCTTGAGGCGCTGGAGAGGAAGACAAATATACGTAAGCCAAAGGCTGGGAGGTGGTGAGGGTGGAGCACAGGCCTGGCCTCGGGTCTTTCCCAGGGGCTGCGGGGTCTGACCTTGTTCCTGCCTTTCCCCCACTTAGCGCCACCGTCCAAATAGGAGCACACTGGAGCCACAGCTTGGAGGATGGGATTTGTGGCTGCTACTGAGATGGAAAATGGGTTCCCCCCAACTGTGAACCTGCCCCTCATTCTGTGAATAGAAAATAATGTATCAGAGTGCATGAGGGTTGTGGAGCTGCGCGCGCACGCGCGTATGCGCGTGTGTGTACATGAAAGAGCATTTTATGAAGGGTGAGAATTTCCCTGTGTCCCAGGGAAGGTGATATGGGTGTCAATGTGTGTTGTGTGCAAGTCGGTGTCACTACATGCGACACACGTGTGTGGCATGACGTGAGCACAGGCATTTCCCAGTGGGAGGCGGTGTCGGTAAGGACCCCACAAGTGTGTCACTGTGTCTGTTGCTGCCACGTGATACCTGCCTGTCCGCACACAGGCACAAGCACACCGTAGTGTGTCATGTTGTATAAACATGAGCACACTGTGGCACAGTCTCCCTGTACATGCAGGTGCTGTGTCTGCCTTGTCACCCCCTGTACCAGTGTGAGCGGGTGTGCCCGGCTATGTCATCCCGTGTTCAGATCACACATTCGCACGTGTCCATTTATTCCTGCACTCGTGTTTTGTGATTCATAAAGATAAAAATCAAGGGGAAACAACGAAGCTCTTAACCCGTTCTCGGAGCAACTGAGGGTACCTGAGGGGGGCAGGTGTGAACGTGGCGCGGGGAGCCCTGGGGCAGAAGGGTGAACAAGAATAAATGCCCTGCATGGGTCCCGTGTGTCCCTGTGTCCTAGAGTGTGTGGCTAGAGCGGGCAGCGGGATATCAATGTCCGCCTAAGCGCACAAGGGCCCACGGGTATCTACGAGCCCCTAGGCGTGTTCCCAGGGATGACCCTGTGCCACAGCACGCGTCCCTCAGCGAGCATCCTGCATGCACCGCACCCACGACTCATGCACGTACTCGAGACAAGAGACTCAAGCTCATACACGTGCCCTGGGGACAAAAGATGCGTGCTCAACGTCCTATGTGTGCCCCGAGCAAGTGACCACGCGTGCTACGGTCAAGCACAGCAGCAGATCCGCAGCGGACCACTTGCTCACACGCGCCCCCCAGCGGCCGCTCCCAGGCACCACCGCTCCCGGCCCGCCCACACGCCCGGCCCGCCGCGCGCCTGCGCACGCAGCCCTTTTACGGCGCCGTAAAGCAGCTCGGCCGGAGCGACCGCCGCAGTTCCTGGTGAGACCCTGTGGGCTGGCGACCCCTCCTTGTGTCGCGTGTCGTCCTCTCCCCGACCCTTCCCCGCGGGTCTGTGTGTTCCGAGCCGGCCCCTCGGCTTCAGCAGGCCCGGGTCTCTCTTCTTTGGCTCACCCCTGGAGGTTATGAGCAGGGTGGGCTTCTCCCCGGCCTGGAGGGCTGGGGCGAGGGTCTTGGCGTCCCAGGGTGTCGGGGTCCCGGCCCTGCGGCAGCTCAGCCCACTACCCCCATCGCAGCTGGTGAGATGAAGGGGTCTCGGCGCTCCCGCTCCCATCATCTGAACCCCGGGGAAGACCCCCTCCCCCGCTGGTCCGCCCTCGCAGACCCTGGGAGTCTTCTCGGCGTTTCTCAGACCCCCTCCCCCTCCCCAGCCGTGCATTATGGGAGCCAGGCGCCCCCCCCCCGCCCCCATGGTGGAGGCTTCACCCCGAGGCGGGCGCGGATGGGGTTAGTTGACCCCAGCATCTCTTCTCCCCGCTTCCCTCTCCCCTCCACCGCCTGCTGTGTGGCTTTGTGCACCGCCAGGGAGGGACCACAGCGGCCTCTCCTGGCTCCCCAAGTCCCGGGGCTGACCGTGTACCCCTCTGTAGTTTCCCACCATTCCGAAACTTTTCTAAAGAGTTTGCAGATGGGAGCCCCCAACATCTTCTCTGGGCCCCTTATTCAGAGCTCATCCAGGTCATGGCAGGCTTCCCGAGTGACAGATCCACTGCCCATGGGCGTGGGGTTGGGTGATTTCCCTGTGTCTCCTGGCTTGGCCCATGGATCTCCCGTCCCCAGAGCCCCAGCCCTTCAGGTCCTGATACACACCCGGTCCCTCTTCTCCCGCTTATTTTGCCTTCCATTAGGGTGGGCGGGAAAGTTCTGGAGAGTGCATAATGCTGGAGAGCATCCTCCCGGGGTCCCCTCGAGGTCCCCTCCCCAGCGCCCCCGACACTGGGTGTCCTGGTCTCCGCACAGGGTGGCGGAGGTATGGAGGCGCGCTTCACGCGCGGGAAGTCGGCCCTGCTGGAGCGCGCGCTGGCACGGCCGCGCACCGAGGTGAGCCTGAGCGCCTTCGCGCTGCTCTTCTCCGAGCTGGTGCAGCACTGTCAGAGCCGCGTCTTCTCGGTGGCCGAGCTGCAGGCTCGCCTGGCCGCGCTGGGCCGCCAGGTGGGCGCTCGCGTGCTGGATGCGCTGGTCGCGCGCGAGAAGGGTGCTCGGCGCGAGACCAAGGTTCTGGGCGCGCTGCTGTTCGTCAAGGGCGCAGTGTGGAAGGCGCTTTTCGGCAAGGAGGCCGACAAGCTGGAGCAGGCCAACGACGACGCCCGCACTTTCTACATTATCGAGCGGGAGCCGCTTATTAACACCTACATCTCCGTGCCGAAGGAGAACAGCACGCTCAACTGCGCCAGCTTCACAGCGGGCATCGTGGAGGCCGTGCTCACGCACAGCGGCTTTCCCGCCAAGGTCACGGCACACTGGCACAAGGGCACCACCCTCATGATCAAGTTCGAGGAGGCTGTCATCGCCAGAGACCGGGCCCTGGAGGGCCGCTGACCCGCGGGAGATAAAGGATGCGGAGAGCCCCCTTGCCCAGTGTGTCTCGTGTCTCATGTCTTGTGTGGGGGCCTCAGACGTCTGCTCAACACCTTGACCCAGGTCCCGTCCCAAGCTGGTGAAGGAGGCCAAGGGCCAAGGGTATTTATAGTAGAAGGGGAGAGGGGGAGGGCCTGGCCTCTCTGGCCTTGGGCTGTCAGAAAAGTCTGGGGCGTTGGATGAGCCTGGTGGGTAGTGGGGAGAGAGACCAGGCAGAAGGAGCCAGTGGAGATGCTCGACTTTCAGGACTCACAGTGAGGGGTGGTTTGCAGGCTGGGGAGGGGGCAGGTCTGGGGGAGGGGTTTCAGGCCAAGATCGACCAGGGACTCTCAGGAAGCGGAGAGTAAAACATTTGCATAATGCAGTCCATATGCTCTTCTGATGGTGGGAAAGGAGCCACACAGAGCAGTAATGGAATAGGTGTGGCCGTGTACTGTGAAACTCTTGAGAATGGTTGTCCCACTGCCGCTTAGGACTTCTCTGCTCCCAGCGTGGTCCTGGGGCCAGCACCATCAGCATCGCCTGGGAAACCTATCAGTGCGAACTCTCAGGCTCCACCCACACCTCCTGCTCCAGTCTGCACTGCGGAAAAGTTCCCAGGGGTCCCTGTGTACCTCAGTTTGAGAAGCAGTGCTTTAGGGGGCTCAGGACCACCTGGAGGGCTCCTGATATCACAGCTGGCTGGGACTAACCCCTGAGTCCCAGAGTCTGTGGATTTGGGGTGTGCCTGAGAATTTGGATTTGTGACACATTCCTGGGAGCTGCTGGGTGCTCCAGGGACCACACTGAGAATGGTGGCTCTAAAGACTTGCCTGTCCTGGGACGGGAGCCCAGAGTTTTCTGGGTACTCCAAATGCTTTCAAGTTAGTCGTAAAATATACAGTTGATACCTGAACACATTTTCCTTGTTGGAAAGTTACAAGGTCTCATGTCAGGCATGACCACTGCCTATTCCCAGGAAACCTCTCCTGATTTTTAGGGGACACTGGATCACATCCTCCTCATTTCTTTCCCTTCTCCCTCCAGAATCCAAATAAGTTTGTTCTGAAAAGGAACCGTAGGAAACTTTAGCTGGGTCCCCTCACTGTAAGAGAAGGGTTCAAGGTCAGGGTGGGTGGAGATTTTACCTGTGCTGACGGGGTCGCTCTAGGGCCAGGTTGGAGGATGCTGGCATCATCCCAGCAAGAGGTGATGGTTGGGGTGGGCGCTGGTATGTTGGCAAGAAGGTAGCATGGGCAGGGTAAATGGAACTCATAGCGTGGAGTCAGTTGTGGAGTAGCTGTGGGTTGTGGGAGGCAGGGCACCCGGGGGCTCGGAGAGGTTTGGGCAGGATGGCAGCTTGGATCTGGAGTTGAGGGGCTGAGTGGAGGCATGTGTACAGGTCTGGGGGTCAGTGCAGAGAGAAGCCAGAGGCCTGGAGGGGATTGGAGCCCTGGGGAATAGGAGGCAGCAGGTCAGGTGTCCGGGAAGCTGCATTTTGGAAGGAAATGCAGGAGTCTGGACTCGGCAGCCCCAGGCAGGATATGGGGACACTGGCTGGAATGGCTTCCAGGGCCTCTGGAGAGAAGGTGGGCAGATTGCAGGAGCAGAAGGCAGGAGGCTGCAGTGACAGCCAGCTCTGCCCAGGGCAGTGAGGGTGCCAGGCAAATACTGGGAGGGACTTAGGGACAGCTTGTAAGCAGGGAGTGCTGGGCCAGGTCTGTCCCCTCTAGCTGAGGAGAAGCAGGGTGCTTTGGAGAAGGGAGAGCCTGGACAAACTGCAGGGTTGGGCTGCTTCTCATCAGGGGCAAGAGGCTAAGAGCCTGTGATCTGACGGCTTCCAGTTGCAGCATCTCTGACTTTGGCTGCTTTGGGCTGCAAGGTCTCCTTGGAGCCCCCAGGACAGCAGGGGAGGGAAGATGAGCCCAGCACTGACCATGCTGAGCCTGGCAGCAGCAACATCCTTCTGCAGGCCGTGAAGCAGGTTCTATTCATCCATGGCCACAGATTGATTTTGTCAAATATTTACAGGGCACCTGCTGAGCCAGGCATTGGAGACACCGCTGGGAGGAAAATAAAGGTGCCTCCCCCACCCCAGCTCATAATCTAAAGGGGGAGGGCAGGGGTGAACAGGTCAGTGATGTGTTCTATTAAAAGGAGAAATCTAACCACACATGGTGGCCCACGCCTGTAATCCCAGTATGGCATGGTAGAAACAGGAACACAAGGAGTGGGGTCAGGTAGCACAGTTGTTAAAATTTAATTTTTTTGCTGCCAGTGCTTGAACCCAGGGCCTTGTGCATGCTAGGCAGGCCCTGAGTTCAATTCCCAAGTGGGCTGCAGTTTTAAAGGGGGGCCAGTTAACTCAGGATAGGCCTCCCAAGGGCAAAGACTGGACAGATTGAGCGGGGCCGGGGTGGGGTTGGGGAACAGCGTGTGGAGGCCCCCAGGCAGGTGTGAGTGCATATTCAAGGAAGAGTGAGGATCCCGCACTCGCACTCACAGGGGAATCCCGTAGGACTTGGGTTTCCTCTGAGCTCGAGGAAAACTTGGGGCACTGAAGAGGGAGACTGGAGCTGGCCACAGTGATGCACTTGTGTGGTCTGAGTGTGCGTGGAGACCGGGAGTGCAAGGCCGGCCTAGGCAACATAGCAAGACTCCATCTCAAATCCAACAAACAAAAAATAGGGAGAGGAGCAGAGGTGCCCTGGGGGTGAGGATGGGCGTGGCAGGAAGCGGTGGGAAGAGCCAGGTCTGAACACGGACAGACCCTGGAGGTGTCCAGGGGAAGAGCGGGGTGAGCATGGCCCCAGGGTTAGCCTGAGCCACGGTGGAGGGGTCCTGGGAGCCTGGCCCGTCACACTCAGCCTCAGCTGCATGTGGCCGAGCCAGAGGCTGCCTGGGCCTCGGTGTGAACTGGTCTCCACCGAGCACCTGCTGAGTGCCTCGCTGCACAAGGCCCAGCTCTGACCACTTCCTGTGTGGCAACTTACGCCCTCTCCTCTGCAGTCCCGGGCTGGTGACACCCCAGGGTCCCTATCTCCAGGGCGGGACCGGTCCATTTTTGTAACAAAAAAATAAACAGGGCGGAGAAGGTGTGAATTCCCACTCGAGTTGCTCTGGGTTCTCAGAATTGGCCTTGGAGGGGGCGGGCATGGGGTGGGGGGCGGAAGTGGGCTCAGGCACGAGGGTCTGGGATTCCCAGCTTCCATCCAGCACGCCCAGGCAGGTCTCCGGAGGGAGGCCTCATTGTCCCTCTCACTGATGCGGGTGGCCAGGAGGGCCTGCTGCCTGAGCTGGGGTGAGGGCTGTCCTGTCGTGCTGAGGAGGGGATGCTTCTGAGAGGCGGGTCCTAGGGGAGAGGTCTGTGTTCTCCACAGCTCCTGGGGTGGCTGGGCCGGCAGTCTACTCCCCAGCGGGCACCGAGCTTGCCAGCAGGGATGGTTTTGGGCCTTTGCAGGCAGGGAGGTGGTGATGGCCAGCTGGGCTGAGGAGCAAGAGACAGGCCCTCGGGGCACCAGTGGGAGCGGGGAAGGGTCAGCCACCAGTTTGGGTGGGAGCAAAATGTCACAGGGACCTTAGAGCCACAAAGTGGCGTCCAGCCTGGGGTCAGGGGTCCTCAGGGCCTGCCTCTGGATCTGGCTGTTCCTAGGGTCAAGAGGGAGGGAGGAGGGAGGGATCAGAGCGAGGTGGCGGAGCTGTCAGGGGCTGTGTGTGGAGCCAGAGCCCGGTGAGTCATCTGTGGAGTCCGAGGGGGTGGGTGGCCCGCATGTGGCCAGCTGCTCGCACACCCAGGCGTCCAACCAGGTGCGGCAGAAAGCGTCATTCCACTGCCCCGAGCCCTGCATCACCACGCAGTCCTCACCCTGGGCGTTGTTGGGCTCCCCTGACTGCCAGTTGCTGCCCAGAAAGGCTTGGAGTCAGAGGGGACTAGTGGGGGAGAGACCCTCCCCGGACCCCGGTGCCTCCCTCTGGGTCTGGGCCTCCCTGGGCTTGGACGCTGGCCCCTCCGCAGTTCCATGTCCCCCTCCCCCAGATTCGACCTCCAGTCTGTGCCTGGAGATTCCTCCCTGAGCCCCTGCCTCTGCTGCTTCCCTGAAGGCTGGAGCAGCTGCTCTCTGGGTCTGGACCCCTGGGCTTCTTCACTAGTAGGGGCCTCCCCATCCAGGGAGCACCTCTCCCGTGGTTACTCCGCCTCCTCCTCAGTCTCCCGGGGCCCCGTCTCACCTGTAGTCCAGGGGGCTCCCATCCATCCAGGTAAACTCCCCCTCTATGTCCAGGTCACGAAGGCCAATCCAGGAGCCCTCCTTGTTGGCGTGTTTGGTGAGGAAGTCCTAGGGGGCAGGACAGGACTGGAGGACTCAGGGAGGGGGGCGCTGAGTCCCTCCCACCCCCTACAGGGGTGTCCTCCTGACCCCCACTGACCACAGCTTCTGCAGAGCCCAGGCTACCTGCTCCTCCTGGCTGTGGATGCTGACCAGCCGGCCTTCCAGGTCATTGCAGGTGAACCGGGCCTGGACCCACTGCTTGGGGCCCTCACCGAAGTAGTAGCACTTCTGCTGGAAGTTGACCCACTGCTTGGGGCATGTGCTGCACTCAGAGCCTGGGGTTGCACATGGAGGAGAGGCTCAGGGGGCACTGTGGGTGGTAGTGTCTCTGCTGGACTCACCCAGAGCCTAACAGGCGATGCCACAGACCACCTTCCCTGGGGCACTCATGCTGCCCACTGTGTAGGACCAGCTCCACAGTGGGACCACCTCAGCCACCAGCACCATTGCCAGACATCTCAAGGTTAAAACTTCACCAACATCGCCATGGACACCTCAGGGTTGGCAGTGCCTCAGTTTCCACCAACATCATCACAAACACCTCATCCACCAGGACCGTTGCATGATACCTCCATGGTTAGTTGAAGATCAACATCAACCCCATCACCATCACTACCGCAGGGGTAGCAGCCTCTCAACTGCCACCGACATTACCACAAACACCTCGACTATCAGGACCATCCCCATAAATACCTCCCTGTCTGGCACCACGTCAGCCAACGGCACCACCATGACCTCGGCCGTTCTACAGTCAGTAGCACCTTCCTACAGGCTTAGCAGCACCTTAGCCACCATCACTGCCACAAGCAGCGCAACCACCAGCACCATCACCACAGACTCCTCACAGCCAGAAGAACCTCAACTGCCAACGTCATCCCCAGGAGTGCATCCATGGTCAGAAGCTCCTCAGCTGTTGACACCGTCACTCAATAAACCCATGGTCTGCAACACCTCAGCCACCTACACCATGACCAGAAACACATTCATTCGGGCCCAAGGTCAGCATCACTTCATCACCAGTGTCATCACTGCAGGCTCCAGCTGCTGCCAGCAATGTGTTGCTACGGCCCACACCATAGCCCATCCTGTGCTTGCCAACCGCACCAGCCATGCCCTGACCACCAGTGCCCATGCTGTGGCCAGCCCGCTGGCGTATCTCCCTCTGCACTGTCCCCACCAACAGCTCCAACGGCCCCGGCCACCATCGCTGGTAGCACCACCGCCCGGCCCCAGTGCTCCAGCCCCCTTTAGGGAAGCTCAGATGGTTTCCTCCTTTCAGGGGCACTGATCCTGAGAGCCCATGGGGAATGAAAAGGAAACTGCAGGGAGGGGTCCCTAAGTCCCCCACCCAGGGCCAGCTGGTCTCTCGCCCTTTTCCCCACCTGGGGAAGCTCTCAGACATTGTAACTGTCTCCAAGACTCCAAGGTGGGAGATTAAATCTGCTGTTACTGGATTGGTTCTCTTCTGCTTTCAAATAGTGTTTTTTCAGGTGCTGGGGATTGGAGTCAGGGTCTCCTGCATGCCGAGCAATGCTCCATCCCTGAGCACTACCAGTCCTAAAACTGCCTTAGATTTCTTCTTCTTTTTTTTTGGTACCGGGGATCGAACTCGGGTCCTTGCACTTGTGGGACAGGCAGCAGAACCACTGAGCTAAATCCCTGGCCCTGGCTTAGATTTTTTAACGGGGCTTGGGTGTCCACAGCAGCGGGAGTCAGATGTACTTCTTGCCTACGCGATGGTAACCAATGCTCAGCCCTGTGGAGGTGCAGCATTAAAACAGAAAGAGCACCTCTGGGCCTCTAAAGGAAGCTTCGAGGGATGCACATGGTGGCATGTGCCTGTAGAAGCAGCTACTCCAGAGGCTGGGGCAGGAGGACCACTTGAGTGCCAGAGTTCATAAAGTTCGAGGCCTGCCTGAGCAACACAGACCCTTGAACAGGCATGAGGATGAGGACGAGGATGAGGATGAGGGTGATGGTGACCATGTGCCCTGACTGTCTTTATCACAGTCATCCTGAGGCAGCCCCAGAGCTGGGCTCAGACCTCAGGCCCCGGGGCCAGATTTGGGGAGGGGGCCCTTAGGGACAGGGCAGGATGGGGACATCGGTGGTGGGGGGGAGCATGACCCAGCGCCCCCTCCTCTTCCCTCCCCAAGGGAGCCCAGTGGGGTTTGCTGCTGGGGTTCCCAAAGGGACTCTTTCCCACCGAGCAAAGCTCCTCCCTCTTCCCCTGCCCAGTGGGGCAGCTGGGGCTTCCCAGAGGTGGAAGACCTCAGTCAAGAGCAGGTCAAGGCTGGGGTGGTGGTGGGGTGGGTGGCAGGGCTGTAAAAGCCTGGTTTCCACCGCACGTTAAAGGCGCAGTGGCTGGCTGCTCTCTTACAGCCTGCTGGCCTCCTGGGCCAATGTCCCCCCATCCCTGCCGCCCCGGGAAGGATCCCACGGGCCCCGTTGCCTTCATCGCTGTCGACATCCCCTTCCTCAGCCCCCTGGCGGTCGGTCTCCCGTGGGACTGCGGCCAAGGGGATCCTGCTGCTGGTGACCCCCGCGCACACTCACCCTTGGACACCTGTATCTCCATCCACAGCTTCGCCACCTCCTCCTTCAGTCTTCCCATCGAATCCAAGGCCGAGCGCCTCTCGTTCAAGTCTTGAGGGACCAGGGGTGTGTGTGTGTGGGGGGAAGAGATCAGCGCTCCGAGACCAACCGCACCCCCCTCCCGCTCCCCACAGCCCCTCCCAGGCTGACTTTGCGACTTGATGCTGCTCATGTCCTCCTGAAGTCTGTCCAGGTTCCAGGAGAGCTCGGAGTCTGACGGGTGTGAGAAGCGGGCTGGGCTCAGGGGGGACACACGTGGACCAAGCGTCACCCCAGCCTCACGGTGCCCTGTGGCCGCGGGCCACTGTCTCCCACCAGGCGCTCACCCTGGGATTTCATCTGCTGCTGCTGGGCTCGGAGCTCTTGGACGGTCTGTGACATCAGTGCCGCTGGCGACCGGAGGGACAGCGTCATCGAGGGCCGAGCCCCGTCTCCCCCACCCACCACTCTGCAGCTCCAAGGGGTGGCAGGGGCACAGCTGGCCCCACGAGTGTGCCTGGTGCTCATCCAGGCAGCCGCCTTCCCCAGCGACTCACCCTGGGACCTCTGGGCCATCTGCTCACTCTGGTGCCTCTGCAGTTCTTTGGAGAATCGAGAGACTGCAGCAGCGGGGAGAAGAGGTGTCCCAGGAGCCACAAAGGCCGGTCCTTGAGCCCCACTCCAGCCCCAGGCTGGGCCCTCCTCCACAGAGTACCACAGTTGTGGCTTTTTTTTTTTTGTACGGGGATAGAACTCGGGACCTTGCACTTTCGAGGCAGGCAGCGGAACCACTGAGTTAAGTCCCCACCCTGTGGCTTTTTTTTTTTTTTTTGGTACCGGGGATCGAATTCGGATCCTTGCGCTTGTGCAGCTGTGGCTTTTTGTTTCTCATGTTTTGGGGGTGGGTGGGAGATGGGAACATTTGGGAAGGTGCAGGCAAGAATAGAATGAACATGTGCTCCCTTTCCTCACCCAGGATTCAATATGAAATCCTAACGTACAGTTCTGCAATTTAGTGCTTCCTGCAACTTAGCTCATTAGTTCCTGGCACCAAAATCACAGGCATTTTACAGAGGAGGAAACCGAGGCACAAGCGGGTTCCAGCTGCAGTGTGCAGGTCCTGTTAGGGACTTCGCCAAGCCTCCCCGGAGGCTCTCCATTTCCCGCTGGGGAAGGGAGCGTCCTAGGTTCTCGGGAGGACGCTAGGCCCTCAGAGGGCTCAGCGACAGGAGAGGGACCAGAGCCGACCTGCTGAGCGTCACTCCCCCCACCCCCTCGGGCCCCCATACCGTTCTGGGCGGCAGTGACTTCCAGCTGTTTAAAATTCCTCAAGGTGTCCCAGTCTGGGGGCAGGGGGCAGGGGGCAGGGAAAGGGAAGATGGGGTAGGTGTCCTGCCCACGCACGCCCCACCTGCCAGCCCAGCCGGGGGTGGGGGCGGGGAGGAAGGTTTGGGGGATAACCCAGGGTCGGGACGGGGTGGCTGGGGAGGGGCAGGCATATCAGTCGAGGTGGGTGACAAGAGGGGGCTGCGAGGGGGTCCCGGGGCTGGGGGTCCTCACGCCACAGGAGAAGCAGGGTCAGCAGCCCGGCCCAGAGCGCCGCGGTCAGCAGCCCCAGCAGCGCCAGCTGCAGCCCCCGCCGGCAGCGCCTCTTCCTGGGAAACTCGAAGAACTCTGCCGGGTCTGGAGGGAAGATGAGGGGCGCGGGGGAGGCCAGGCTCCGTCTCCGCCCGTCTCCGCCTCACCTGGGCCCCAGCGTCCGGGAGGCTGTCCCGAGGCCCCGGGGCAGCGCGGGTCTGCGGGTCTCGGCCCTCTGCCTGTGCCGCTCGGTGTGGGCCGCGCCGCAGCAGGCGGGGTCCGATCGCGCCCGGGTCCCCCCAGACTCGGAGCCGCCCGGCCCGCTGTCCTGCCGACCCGGCCTCAGGCGCTGCCTGAAGCCTGCGCGGACTCTCGCCCCGTCCCAGGCGCACGGCTCCCCTCAGCTCTCCCGGGAGCCCCGAGGCCTCACCCTGGCTCGGGGGGCTCATCCTGCCAGGCTCCCGGCCGCTCGGCCTCCGACGCCCTCGGCTGCCAGCGCCGGGAGCCGCATTTTGTGCAGGGGGAGTTGGCACAGGGAGGAGGGGCCCTCTGCGTCCCTCTCCGGCCGGCCCGGGGCCAGGAGCTCGGGAGGTCGGCTCAACTCCCTACCCGACCCTTGGGGTTTTTCTTTCTTTTTAAAAATTCCATCCTCCTGGCTGGAGGGGGCCGGGGAGCACCCTCATGTCCCGAGTCCAGGCAGAAGAGCCCTCTCACCCGAGTACTGATTTTCGGCCATGGCAGTCCTGCTTGGATTCTCCCGGTGACGGGCCGCTCACTACCTGTCCAGGTTGCTCTTTCAGGGACGCGTCACAGCTCGGCCGGGATCTGGGTTTTAGCAAAGCTTAGGATGAGACACGGAGCCCTCGTATCCGCCTGGGGGGCTGCGGGGCTCGGGGGCATCTGCTGACTTTATTCAGTCCCCAAGCCGCAGTCAGCATTGTGGGCAGCAGGAGACACGGCTGGTGGGATCTCGGCAGCCCAAGACCACGGGCACAGGGCCGGGCTGTGCTCTGGGAACGTGAACGGTGCACGTGCACCTGGGAGAGCCACGCGCCTTCGTCCTCCGCAGAACAGCGATATTAATAATCCTGTGCTGTCGGGTGTCAGGCGCTCGGTGGGAAGGCGGACAGCGCCCAAAGGCCACCAGCTCCCACTGGCAGGGCTGCAGCCTCGCCAGGGCTCAACGTTTCTTTTATTCTTTTTAGCTTTTATTACCGGATGTTTGTGATGTAATTGCGTCGGCCGTAGGGAATGGGTGCATATGCCGTACACATTGCATCTTATCTTTTTGACTTCTCCTCCCCCTTCCCTTGGATCTCTTTCCATCCCCAGATCTTTTTCCTATTTCCAAAAATTCTACCTCCCTGTTTCCTACCATCTCTCTTTTATGGGCCAGGGATTTAGCTCAGTGGTTCCACTGCCTGCCTCGAAAGCCCAAGGACCTGAGTTCGATCCCCAACACCAAAACAAAACAAAACAAAAAAAGAATCAAGCATCTCTCTTTTATTTTGCTCCTTAAATTATTTGTTCTTTGGGTTTCTCAAGTAAGAGGAACCATGTGATATTTAAACTTGTGTGTCTGATTTATTCCAACAAGCATTGTGGTCTCAAGATGCGTCCATTTTCCTACAAATGACTCATTTGTCCTTCTTTATGGCAGAGTAGTACTCCATTGCATATAAATATCACATTTTCTTTTTCTTTTGGTACCAGGGATCGAACTCAGCCCCTTGTGGTTGCAGAGCAGGTGGCAGAACCACTGACCTAAATCCCCGGCTTTTACCACATTTTCTTTATCCATCCTCTGTTGGTAGGCATATAGGCTGCTTCCAAGATTTAGCTATTATGAATTTGTGTATAGTGGCTCAACCTTGAACCTTAGTTTTCTGCTCTGAAAAATGGGGGAGAAGGGCCGGGGATTTAGCTCAGTGGTTCCAGCGCCTGCCTCACAAGCACAAGGACCCGAGTTCGATCCCTGGTACCAACAAACAAACAAAAAAAAAAATGGGGAAGAAAATAGCATCTGACCCATGAGGCTGTGACAGGATTGGGTGATTTACTAATGCCGTCGGGCTTTCTCTGTGCAGAGGGTCTTCAAACCCTAAATGTGATAAACATAAGCATCCACTTCTGCTAAAAATGCAGAGACTGTTGCCTGGGCCTCAGCTTCCTTCTCATCCAACACGCTCAGAGTCCTTCGACTTTAGAGCACTAGTTCAAAGGAGACCAATCGAGGGGCACCTTGCTGTGTGACTGTGGCCAAGTGGTTCACCCTCTCTGAGCCTGGTGGCAGGGGTGTGAGCCAGCCAGGCTCTGAGGAGCGGCAGTTCAGTCCCATTCTGCCATCATGAGAGGAGCACAGGGCTGTCACCATGCTGGAACCCAAGGTGGGCAGACGTGGGCTGGACTCCAGCTCTCTCTGGATGACTACCTCAGTTTACTCACTTATAAATGGAGCAGCAGTGCTGACCCGACTGGCAATGCAAACACATAGTAGATGCTCAGTAAACCTGGGGGCAGGGGGAGCAGCTTAACTGCACATCCTCTCTCAGGGGAACCACGGCACCCAGAAGGTAAATCAGTCAACCACCTCACATAGTGAGGGAAGTGGAGCTCGAACCTGAGACCTTGGACCTGGAAGCCTGTTCCATGGGCCACCTGGAGCCATGCCTGCTGGCAGGATCCTGATACCTGGTCATGACTCTATGTGGAGAGGTCCTGTCATTGTCTGCCACCTTCCATGGCTCCCCAGTGCTCTCTACAATCAGCCCCCAGTGGACCCAGGACTCAGTCCTGGCATTCACTTCCACCGAGTGCCTGTCTGTTCTGCCCACAGGGTCGCTCGCTCGCCCACTGCCCACCTCCCTGGTCATCGCCCTCCCAGGCTCAGCCCAGGGCCGTTTCTTGCAACTCCCGTCAGGGTCCAGTGTCATGGCCAGCCCTGTCCCTCACGTGCAGTAGCACAGGGCCACACACTCACGCGAGCTTGGAGCCGTCAGGTCCTGCCGGTGGCCAGTCAGAGGTCAGCCAGCCAGAGTGGTGAGAGAGGTTTCAGCAGCAGGAGACACACTTTCTTCTGAAAACTGGTGACTTCTGGCTTCACGGACCTGATTATGGGCCGGCCACCCAGAGAACCTCAGTCCCACGGTCTTTCCTGGCGCTCCCCACAGCCGGGGAAAGTCCCGACTATTATTACCTCAGTTCTCAGGTAAGCTGGCTGACTGAGACCCAGCCATGCTAATCGAGTTCCTAAAATGCCCCAGGAAGTGAGGGGGCAGAGTCGAGATTAGAATCAGGGCTAACACGCACTAGGTCCCCGAGCTACTGTGGAAAGGAAGGAGGTAAGAACAGAGGGAAAGGAAGAAGGAGAAAAACACCAGAGAGAGAGGCCTGACATTCAGGTCAAATATGACAATTAGTATCCCGTATGCACTAACAAATCCGATTTTGACAACCTCCTAGGAGTCTGATGCTTTGCTTAGCAGTGTTGCCTATGAATGAAAGAGTCAAAGCCCCAGAGAAGAAAATTAACCCCCCAAGGTCGCACAGCTCATAGATAACAGAGCTGGGATTTAACCACTGTGCTTCCCAGCCTCCCCTTGGCAACCTGCTCTTGTTCCCTAAAAGGTGCCCCTGACCCATAGGCTCTCCTTCGCTCCTGCAGGGAATGGGAGCGTCCCTTTTGTGACCCCCTCCTGGATGGGCCGCCTCCTGTGCCTTTCGAGCTGAGGATGCCCACCTGTGCCCCGACAGTTCACCTCTCAGTCAAGACTCAGCTGGGCTGGGCATCCACTGTGCCCTCTGGGGTGGAGAGGGACCTGGCTGGACCTCTCCCGGACGGTGCTCCCCCAAACAGCCCTGCTGCCGGGCCAGTGGCTCTGGCGGCCTGAAGGCTCTGTGTGCTCCCCCTGAACGCACCCTGGGCTCACCACTGATGCAGGTGGCTGGGTGCGGAGATGGGCAGGGGGAGCGAGGCCAGGGGAGCCCGGGAGCAGGGGCTGGAGCTGCTGGCTGTGCTGAGCACTGAGGGACTTTCGGGGGGAACCAGGAGGGTGTGGACCCTTGGGGCTGGGGGCTGTGGTGGGCGCCGGGACGGGGCGGAGGTTGGAGAGGGGGCTGTCCAGGGAGAAGGCCTGCAGGAGGAGCCTTGAGAGCAGCCGCTGGGCCCAGGGGAGCCGTGGGATGGAGGCCAGGAGAGGGACAGGCTTCCTGGCGCCTAAGTGTGGGTGAGGGTGGGGAGCGCTGTGCACAGGGCCTCCCCTGGTGTCCCCTGGATAGCCTGCTCCCCCAGTGAGGAGGAGGGAGAGGAAGGGATCTTGGGCACAAATTCCTGTCGGGAGGTGTTCAGGGCACAGGTGGAGGGCCTGGTCCTGGGTGGGCCAGGAGGGAGTTGGTCTTTTCTTTTCTTTTTCCTCCCCCTTCCCCCCTCTTTTTTTTTTTTTTTTTTACAGTACTGGGGCTTGAACTCAGGGCCTTTGTGCTGAGCTATATCCCCAGCCCTTTTAAGAAATGTTTATTATTTATTTATTTATTTTGAGACGGTCTCACTAAGTCACTAAGTTGCCCAAGCTGGGCTTGAACTTGCAAACCTCCCACCTCAGCCTCCCAAAGCACTGGGATTACAGGTGTGGGCCACCATGCCCGGCAAAGTTTAGTGCTTTGTCAGGAGCAATGCTGCATAATTTTAGGGAAAAATCATTTGGTTAGCCTAGTTCTCCTGCCTACAGCCCAGCTATGGAATTCCGAGACAGAATTCCATTTTGGCCCGGGTCACAACTGAGACCTCAAGGATCCGGTGATACTGGGATGCTCCAGGACCAGAGTACAGCAGCTAAAGACATCCTGGGAGGAACAAAATCTTCATCTACTCACTTCCTCATTGTCCTTGGATTTTACATCTTGTTTACACGGATGTACTGAACTCTCTGCAAGTCATTTGCTACATTTGTTTCTCCCGATGGACTGAATAAAATGTGTGGTTTGCTGCCCAGAGCAGCGCTGATCAGACCCAAAACTCAGCTTCTTCTCGTTCTCATTTTTCTACCTTTCCTGTAATTCGCCCTGTGCTGCCGTGGCTCGCAGGAGACCAGGACTCACTGCAGAGGTTCTAGTAACGTCCCCTTTCCCTGTTCCCTACAGTGTTTTTGTGCTTCTCAGTGTTCTGCAGGGTCAGGTGTCCCAGCCCCACAGGGTCCTTTCCAGGCTGGTCCGCTGGGTCCCCCCTTGGACTTCACTCAGACCGGAGGATGCTGGAGGGGCCCCGGGAACTGAGTCATGTGACCATCCCACTGCTTCCGCTCTGCGGTGTCCACCCCTGCCCCCTGCACGCTTAAGGGGAACAGGAAACCCTGCGGAAGTGGGCCCCGGCCTGAAGGTGTTAGTTCTTCTTTTAGGTTCTTTATTGCCCAGCCGGGTGGGCGGGGCCCTGCATACTGCCAACCTGGATCCGCGCTCAGCAGGAGCCAGCTGGGGCTCCGGCCTCCAGGGCCCCCAACAATTCCCAGCCAATCCCAGCTGGCCTCAGCCTGGATATCACCTTAACAGACGGGCCCAGCTCAGCACCCGGGACAGTTCTCTGCAAAGGGACCGTGGGGCCCTGCCACCCTGACCCAGCCTCATCTGACACAGCCTGGGCTCAGCCCCCGTCCCTCCTGGTGTCTCCAACGGGAAAAGATTGAGCACCGTGGGGGAGATGGTGAAGGGTAGTGGACACACGAAATCCAGTAGGGTTTCCAG